ATTGGGTCCCCGGAGCACAGATTCACACAAAGCGGCAAAACGTCCTTGCAGGTTATTAACAGGATTTTATTTGAAGTGCATATATGCAGAACAAAGGTACAGGGCGATAAGCAACCTGCACACCCAGTCAGGGTGCGCCCCCTTTTTATAGATTTGCAGAATACAATACCACCTGATTTCTTGTAATCACCTGATTTCTTGTAAACCGAAATTTATAGTAAGTTCCTATTACCATGTAAGGTCTTGGCCTCCCTCCCTCTTTCCTGCAATCTCCCTCCTCCTGGGGTTACAATAAAATCCATTCAACCTTGTTCTTTATCTCTACCCGCCCAACCAGACATTCCAGCGAGAGCCCATTTGCACTGTAACATTTAAGCAACAGAAAAAACCCTGTCCTGCTGTCTGGTGTAGAAACCTCCCCCCTTTGGGATAATATAGAACAATATTGTAATATGCCCCTTCATTATGGCCATATATATAGCCAGAGTCTTTCTCAGAAAGCAGGTCTTTCCCATCTCTACCAGCTGGATGTTAAACTTGTAATATTCTGCATTCAAAACGCATGCCATTTTTATATGGATGGTGAACTGCAGCCTGATGCAGCAAAAATATGCGATGGGACCAACTGACTACCTTTAACTTTATCTCTCAGTTATCAGTATAAAACTTGTTTTGTGGCTCCAGGTATGGATTGCACTTTCTCCTGCAGAACAGATCCCAAAGTACACGAAAAATGCAGGAACTTTAATATATATATATATATATCAATCAATTTTATGTTTTTGGATCTTAGGAACAAATTCAGGCCCGTTTGGATTTCTTGAAGAAAGAGAGACAGGAGCTTCTGGAATTCAAAACACAGGACGACAAGAAAAGCCAAGACCTTTTGGTGGGTATCAGTTGTTACTTAAAGGTACCCCCGCCCGTACGGGCCAGTCTTGACAGACTCTAGGGTTGTGCGCCCATCTCACTCAAGAGGCCGGGGGCCAGCGCTGTCCGGAGACACTTCCGGGTCACGTGGCCAGCGTGACATCGCTGCTCTGGCGAGCCAGAGCCGCACACGGAAACGCCGTTTACCTTCCCGCTAGCAAGCGGTCCCTATTTATCTACTTGCACCCAGGGTGCTTTCGAACTGCTAGGTTGGCAGGCGCTGGGACCGAGCAACGGGAGCGCACCCCGCCGCGGGGATTCGAACCGCCGACCTTTCGATCGGCAAGCCCTAGGCGCTGAGGCTTTTACCCACAGCGCCACCCGCGTCCCTCCAGTTGTTACTTACAAGCTGGCAAATGGATACAGCATTGACTCAGATGAGGGTGTATAATTTAACAGAGCTGAAAAGGGTTGAATGGGTGGGGGCTGCCCTTTTAAAGCCCTAAACGGCCTCGGTCCTGTATACCTGAAGGAGCGTCTCCACCCCCATCGTTCAGCCCGGACACTGAGATCCAGCGCCGAGGGCCTTCTGGCGGTTCCCTCATTGCGAGAAGTGAGGCTACAGGGAACCAGACAGAGGGCCTTCTCTGTAGTGGCGCCCGCCCTGTGGAACGCCCTCCCATCAGATGTCAAAGAGATGAATAATTACCAGATATTCAGAAGACATCTTAAGGCAGCCCTGTTTAGGGAAGTTTTTAATATGTAACGCTGTACTGTTTTTAACACTGATTGGGAGCCGCCCAGAGTGGCTGGGGAAACTCAGCCAGATGGGCGGGGTATAAATAATAAATTATTATTATTATTATTATTACTTTTGCCTTTCATAACAGCTTAATATTGTGATGAAGTGTGGAGCTGCTAAAGCAAAGATAAGCATTATCATGCACTGCACATGTCTGCCCATGTAGCTCCTCTTGAAGTTGCAGAGCATGACAAGAATTTGAATTTGAAAATTTTGAATTTGAATTTGAAATCCCGCAGTCAAGCATTGCTACACAGAGAACAGAGGTCTTTGGCTACATCCTCACTCAAAAGAGAGAATATAAATGTGCTTCTGGGTTACATGACAGTAGAATACAAGGGGTATCTGGATGAGTTCCACAGCAACAGGTTCACAGCCAAAGACCTCTGTTCTGTGTGCCAATTGACTTCACGGGCAGGCACCTTGGTTACGTGGCTGGTTAAAGCAGTTTCAACTCATAACAGACTCAGAACACAAATTTATAGAGCAGATGACCAACTAGGTGAAAGGTTAGGAGTGTCCCTTGTTATTTTTGCAAATTATAACTCTGTTCCTTATCCTCTGCTGCCATCTATTGTTTGTACTTATTTATCATTACTCTCCATCTACAGCCTTTGTGGAAGCAAAAGGATGCTTCCTGGATCTTTTTGGGGGCAAGATTCAAATCACATACTGGCAAATTCAGGTTACACGATTGAAGTGGATTTGGAGCTTGTAAGCAACTAGCCCACATCCCATAATGCTTTTTGCAATAAGGAAAGTGATGGCAACATGTATTGGAAAGTGTAAGTTTGGCTGCCGTCCCAAAACACGCCAGTAGATGCCCTCACTTGTAATTTAAGGAGAGGCTCTTTTTAAAGGCAGAGTAACGGTAAGGTTACAGGTTTTAGGGGGTCAGTCTGGATGACACCCAGGGGTCCCTTACAAACCTGTGGTCCTGTGTAGTTGAGGTTAGAATCTATAAGAGGCAAGCGGCCAAACCAAAGACCCCAAAACCACCATTCTGAAGGGCCCTTTTATTGACACCGTTCTGACGTTAGTTGGCCAAAGTTGTGCTTTGAGACTGTTTGGTGGTGTTAGCCCTTCTGCTAACGGGCAATCTTGGTTTTGTTTCTTTAAGAAAACTATAGAGACTGAGAGACAGAAGGTCCTCTCTGAATTTGAAGGGATGCGCCAGTTTCTGCATGAGCAAGAGCAGCTTCTTCTGGGTCAGCTGGACAAGATGGAGAAGGGCATCACCAAGAGGCAGAACGAGAACATCACTGAGCTCTCCAAGGAGATTTCTCTCCTCAACAAACTCATTGCTGACCTGGAAGACAAAATCCAAGAGCCAGTGCTTGATTTCCTCAAGGTAAGACTTTCAAATAAATTACGCATGTATCCCATAACCTTTGTGCAAAGCCAGATAATTTATAAGTGATGCTGGTGATAATAGTCACCAGCATCGCTTATAAATTATCTGACAAACCGCACCACAATAGATGTCTGGATGTGTGCACACTTGCAGAACTTGACCTGTTGTACTTTCTTGATCAAGTACTTGGAAACCTCGCCTCAGGAAGGTGCTTTCCTCAAGGAAAGTAAAAGCCATGTTATCTCTGCCTTGGCAGTGCTGGATTTGACCAGAATATTGACATTCAGGGTGGTCTCCTAGGCCACATTCTTGCCATACTTTTAAAGCACCATGATGCCACTTCAAACAGTCATAAAAAGGTAAAGTAATGGACCCCTGACTGTTAAGTCCAGTTGCGAACGACTCTGGGGTTGCGGTGTTCATCTCGCTTTACTGGCTGAGGGAGTTGACGTTTGTCCGCAGACAGTTTTTCCGGGTCATGTGGCCAGCATGACTAAGCCGCTTCTGGTGAATCCAGAGCAGTGCATGGAAACGCCATTTACCTTCCTGCCGCAGCATACCTATTTATCTACTTGAACTGGTGTGCTTTCGCACTGCTAGGTTGGCAGGAGCTGGGACCGAACAATGGGAGCTCACCCTGTCACGGGGATTCTTACCGCCGACCTTCCAATCAGCAAGCCCAAGGCTCAGTGGTTTACACCACAGCGCCACCCACGTCTCAAACAGTCATAGCTTCCCCCAGAGAATTCTGGGAGCTGTAGTCTGTTAAGGGTGCTGAGAGTCGTTAGGAGACTCCTATTTCCCTCACAGACTACAGCTCCCACAGTTCCTTGGGAAGAAGGATTGATTGTTAAGCCACTCTGAAGATTGTAGGTCATGAAGGCGGAGATCTCCTAACAACTCTTCATTAAGGGTGCTGAGAGTTGCAGGCGAAGCTTTTTACAGCAAGAAGTGAAGCATTATTACTTGCTAACATCTGTGGATCGAGCAGCTGTCAAAAGCAGAGGAGCCAGGGAGTTAGGAAGAATGTAGGTCGCCCTGACATCCGCAACAAATTGAATTAAAACAGGACTGAGTTTCTTTAAATTCAGAAACAATATTTTCTGATTTCTATGTTGGGGGGAGGGGAGAAAAATACTCCCCCTCACCCCCGTCACTTGAAAATTGCTTTGCAGAAAAGCTGTGCTCTGTGGTGTTGATTTTTAAGCCTTGATTTTTCTGTTTGCCACCGTTCTCAAGTTGCACTAATGTTCCCATGCCAAGCAGTTTCTTTGACCTATTTAAAGGCTGCAGAATTCCTCACTGAGGATGGCTGTAGCCCAGAAACCTGGGCTGTGGTCTCTTTCTATACATAGCATACTGTACTAAGGACATCATTACGATCATGAGAAAGACCACTACACACACACACACACACACACACTTTTATTACTGTATTTTTCGCTCTATAAGACGCACCAGACCACAAGACGCACCTAGATTTTGGAGGAGGAAAACAAGAAAAAAAATATTCTGAATCTCAGAAGCAAGAACAGCAAGAGGGATCGCTGTGCAGTGAAAGCAGCGATCCCTCTTGCTGTTCTGGCTTCTCAGATAGCTGCGCAGCCTGCATTCACTCCATAAGACGCACACACATTTCCCCTTACTTTTTAGGAGGGAAAAAGTGAGTCTTATAGAGCAAAAAATACGGTAACTGTTAAGTCGTGGGTTGACATAGCAGCCGGCACAGCGATTTCTTCAAGTAGCTCTTTATTATGGTAAGCTGGAATACAACTGACTGCGACAGCTCAGCCGGCCTGTATTTATAGGCAGCCGGCTGTCAACATTGTAACCACAACAGCCCAGAGTTCCCGCCTAAAATAACTGCCGCGGACCTGAGTGAAAACTATCTACAGACCTGAGTGAAAACTATATACAGTATCCCCCTGTTGGCCCAGGGTGAAACTACACTACATAACACCCCTCCCCACCGAGATAAGGCGTTAGTTACAATCGTAATGGTTTCCTTATATACAGCACTACGCGTAATGGTTCCATTAAGCACAAAAGCATATCGGTTACATTTCCCATACTTAGACCAACAGTGATACCTGTCCAACAACATAGTCCTTTAAATAAGTTGGGCGCTTGGAAACTCTGCCAGACCGCCGGGGAACTGGTAGCCAAGTCCGGAGGGCCACACAGTTCTCGCTGAGGCTGTGGTGCGACCCTAGGTGGCGTTGGAACCAACTCCCCTGGATCCGCTGCTGTGGGTGGAGCCTCCGCAAGTGGAGTGGTCTGAGTCTGTTCTGAAACGGCTTGGTTCGGCTCCACGCTGGCAGTTTGCGAGGGAGGTGTAGGTGGGGCCTCGCCATCTGTACGTGTCTCTTCTGGAGCCGCAAGCGCAGTTGGGGGCACCTCGGTAGTGTCCAAGTCCCCAACCCTGCGCCTAAGCTGGTCTATGTGCCGTCGCCACAAGCGTCCGTCTTCGAGTGCCACCTGGTACGAGCGAGGTCCAGTGACTCCCACTACTGTGGCTGGCACCCAAGGGATGTCCCCCACATAGTTCCGGGCAAAGACCTGGTTTCCTGGGACAAATGACCGTGGTGCGTTGGCACAGCCTGGGGGTTCAGCCACGGCAAAGTCTGGGTGTAGCCGGTCGAGCGGTGACCTGAGGCGGCGGCCCATAAGCAGTTCAGCAGGACTCCTCCCTGTGGCCGCATGAGGGGTGATGTGTTGCACGAACAAGTATTCGGCGACCCGCTCATGCCAGTCTCCCCGGTCCAGGCGCGCCAGTGCCTCTTTTGTCGAGCGCACCATTCTTTCCGCTTGCCCGTTGCTGGATGGATGAAAGGGTGCCGTTAGGGCATGGCGGATGCCCAGTCCCAAAAGATACCGCTCAAACGTGCCTGACGTGAACTGCGGTCCGTTGTCAGAGACAAGGACATCAGGACACCCATGCGTTGCAAACAGGCCTCGCAGCACCCGGATGACAGCTTCGGTAGTGGTGGAGGGCATCAGTGCGACCTCCAGCCATTTGGAATAGGCGTCCACCACTACCATAAAGGTCCGGCCGTGAAAGGGGCCAGCCAGATCGATGTGCACCCTCGACCAGGGTGTCTTTGGCGTCTCCCAGGTGTGTCCCTTAGCTGCCGGTGGTGCAGGCCTCGACTCCTGGCACGCTTGACAGGCGGACACCCAGGCAGTGATGGCATCGTCCATATTAGGCCACCAGACGTAACACCGAGCCAACGCCTTCATTTTGACAATTCCCGGGTGGCCAACGTGCAGAGCCTCCAGGACGCGCTGACGGAGTCCCTGGGGAATCACGACGCGGTCTCCCCACAGCAGGCAGCCACGATGAGCTGAGAGTTCATGTTGTCTGGTTGCGAAGGGCTGGAACTCCGATGCAAAAGGCCCTTGTGGCCACCCCCTCCACACCCAGTTGAGCACCCGGCTGATGGTGCGATCCTGGGCAGATGCGGAGGCCACAGTGGCAGCCGATACAGGCGCTGCCGGAAGATCCTCAATCAGAAGGAGCGATGAAGCTGGAGCCGGGTCTTCCACAAATGCTGGAAGAGGGCAACGGCTGAGGGCGTCGGCATGGCCCATCGATTTCCCCGGGCGATGGATGAGCCGGTAGTGGTAGGCAGCCAGGAAAACAGTCCATCGCAGCATGCGTGGTGAGAGGACCGGTGGAGTTGGACGATCACCGGCGAGGAGGCCCAGGAGTGGCTTGTGGTCAGTGATGAGGTCAAAAGTCCTGCCATAGAGGTATTCATGGAACCTCTTCACTCCAGCCACAAGTGCCAATGCCTCCTTGTCGAGCTGGCTGTAATTCCGTTCCGTCGGAGATAGTGTCCTGGAAAAGTAGGCGAGCGGTGCTTCTCTTCCATCTGGAAAACGGTGACTAAGGACAGCACCGATGCCAAAAGGTGAGGCGTCGCAGGCAAGGACCAGCGGCCTGGATTCACTGTACTGTACCAGCACACTGTCTGAAGAAAGGAGAGCCTTGACCGCGTTGAAGGCCGCCGTCTCCCGATGACCCCAGGCCCAAGGCGTCTTAGTGCTAAGGAGTCGGTGAAGAGGCTCAGCCACTGTGGCTTTGTGGGGCAGGAACATGTTATAAAAGTTCAGCAGCCCCAGGAATGCCTGCAACTCCGTTTTGTTCTTTGGGGTGGGGGCCTGCTGGATAGCGCGGATCTTGGATGTGGTTGGATGAAGACCGGAGGCATCGATAAGATAGCCCAGGAACTCTACCTGTGGAACGGCGATCTGGCACTTCTCCCTCTTTACCTTGAGCCCGGCCTCCTGGAACCTGGTCAGCACGGCACGGAGGCGCTCGAACAGCTGCTGGTGTGAGTCTGCAGACACCAAGACGTCATCAAAATATGGTACCACGCCCGGAAGCCCTTGCAGGAGACGCTCCATAAGGCTTTGGAAGATGCCAGGAGCCACACTCACCCCGAACTGCAACCGGCGGCAACGGAAAGCCCCCCGGTGGGTGACGATCGTCTGGGCTTCAGCAGTGGCATCATCGACTGGCAGTTGTTGATAGGCTTGGGCAAGGTCCAGCTTAGCGAAGACCTTACCCTCACCCAGGGAATGCAGCAGGTGTTGGACAACAGGAACCGGATAAGCGTGCTGCTGAAGTGCCTTGTTGATCGTGCACTTGTAGTCAGCGCAGATTCTCACCGACCCATCTGGCTTGACAGGCGTGACGATGGGGGTTTCCCACTTTGCGTGGTCAACCGGCTCCAAAACTCCTTGGGCGATCAGTTTGTCCAGTTGTTCGTCCACCTTAGCCTTGAGAGCAAAGGGAACCCGGCGTGGCTTTAGCTTGATGGGGGCGACTTGTGGATCAAGGCTAAAGGAGATGGGCGTACCTGTATATTGGCCCAAGGTGCCGTCAAAAACCTCGGCAAAGTCTTTGACCAGACCCTCAGTCTCTGCGTTAGAGATGCAGTTGATGCCGGTGACTTCCAGGCCGAGGGCATCAAACCAGTCTAGCCCTAGGA